TGAACTGTTTTTTCTGTAAGTCGGGTTTAAAGCGTAACTACAAACTAGCTACATCTGGCCTAGAACTGGGAAAAGCTGGGGGTGGAGATGAATGATTGTGTTTAAATATATCATGATTTTATTTCTTTTTATAAATGCTTTTCTTATGAGTAAAAACTGCACACTGTAACATATGTATTTACTTGTCTGAGTGGCTGACTCCATTATGCCTTGCTCAGGTGACCAAGACTCAGTGAAATCCAGCAGTTCCATGGATGGAATGGAGTTTACCCAGTGGATGTGGGTTCAATAACTATTTTTATTAGATAAATACATACTGACTACACTGCCTAAACCAAGGATAGAAGTGTAACAATAGTATTAAAAAGACAAGCTTGCCTAATATGTAAATGTCCAACATATGAATGGATAATTTTCAAAGGAAAAAATCCAAGCTATAATCATGTAAAATGCTCTAAATCACTACTAACTGGAGAAATGTAAATTAGGTGAAGTAACTTTGAAGTTCTACCTCATACTACGAGACTGGCAGAGGTGACAAAAGAGGAAAATGACATGCTGGAGAGCCTGTGAAAAAACAGTAAACAAGTGCATTGTTGGTGGAGCTGTGAATTGGTCCAGCAATTGGAAAGCAATTTAGAACTATGTTCAGAAAGTTACTAAACTGTGCAAATCCTTTGACCCAGCTATAGCAATACTAGACTTATACACCCAAAGAAATCAAAGAAAGAGAAAAAGGATCAATATGTACATAAATATTTATGGCAGCTCTTTTCATGGTAGTCAGAAAAGGGTGTCCTATTAGGAAATGGTCAAATTGTTGTATATGAAAGTAATGGAATATTATTAGGCCATAAGAAATGATGAAATGGACAATTTCAGCCAAAACTGGGAAGAATTCTATGAACTGATGCACAGCGAAGGGAGCAAACCTAGAACAATTTTTATAATACCATTACAGGAAAGAACAACCTTCAAAAACTTTAGAACTCTGATTAACAAAATAATCACGAGTCCAAAAAAATGAAGATGAAACATTCCACTGACTTCCTGACAAAGAGGTGATAAACTTAAAATTTAAAAGGGGACACAGAGACATAAGTTTTTGGGCCTAGCTAATGGAAGAATTTGTTTTGCTGGATGACATAGTTATGTACTGAGGGATTTTACTTAATGGGGCAGAGTAATAAGGGGGACACAATAATAAAAAATAATAAAAAATAAAATTTTTAAAAGGGGAAAAAAAGAATGGGTTTGGAGAAAGAGGTTCCCAGTTTATTGGGAACCATGAGAGCTTGGACTTCACCTGAGTTCCCTCTGTTGGGTGGACTGCATAAATGTCAGTATGAACCTGGAACTTCATAATGCCTCAGTTTGTGTTTGTTTTTGTTTTTCTGTTTTTTTGTGCAAATAGGATCATGTTGGGATGGCTAAAACTGGATTAGAGGAAGTGGCAGATAAATCTTTTTCTATCTCCTCACAATTGAACAATCTGTTCCTTTACCTTTCTGTTACAATGATCAATTTGTAAAAAGAGGGGTTTAGACTAAATGCTTCATGAGGTCACTCTGTCCCAACATCTGGGATCCTATGATCCTTTGATCATTTGGGCTCTTAGGAGTTCCTTCTTTACCATTAGGCCTACTTCTCTACTTTCAGCCCTGCCCATACTACAGGGTCACAGTACCTTTCCATAACTCTGAGAAACACAGAAAGTCAATGGAATTGGGTCCTTAGGGACTATAATTCTCTTCTAGGGAAGAATATCAGTTTCTTACATGACGTTGCAAAGGGAAGAGATATTTTCTCAATCCCAGAGAAAATTTATGACAGACTGCATACTCCATTAGATACTCAAACAGATTAGTTATTATATCACTCAATGTTTTAAGTTTTCCCAGGTGGGAAAACAAAATTTTAGGGAACAATTATCTAAACTCTCACTGAGTGTGAATACAGAAACAATAGTAACCATTGCTCTTTCCTCAGTCTTTATCCTCATTCACCTCTCTGTAGCATTTTGACACTACATCTTTTTCAATATATTTTTTTTTTGCCTTTGGCTTTGGTGACATTGCTTTCTTCTGGTCCTACTGTTATTTCTCTGATTACTCCTTCTTCATCTCGTAATTTAGTTCTTATTTATTTTTCCTTTTATTTCTTCCAAAGTATATTGGTATCCCCAGATATCTGTCTCTTTTCATTCTCTCAGGGATCTTAGCTACTTCCATGGCTTATGTTATCCCCTCTATGGAGATGATTTCCAAAGCTATACATTCAAGCCTCATCTCCCCCCACTAAACTCCAGTCCTGTATTTCCAATGGCCTATTGTACTTCTCTACATGAAAAATCTGATAATACCTCATATTCATAGTGGAACAAATATTTTTCTCTCCAATCATTTCTCATTCATGTGGTTTCCTTATGTCTGTTAATGGAACCATTACTAACCAGGCTTGGGACCTCAGTATATTTTTCACTCTTCTCTTTCCCACATCCCTTACTTTCCAATTGGTTGTTAAGTTCTGTTGCTTCTATTTCCCTAATATTTCTTGAATCTGTCCATTCTACAGCATTCTCACTGATGTTACCCTAGTTCATACTATGCCCTCATTATCCTTATCCTGGACTATTGTCATCACTTCTTTAATGGTTTCCTTTCATCTGGTGTCTTCCTTTTTTAATTTATCATTCATACCTTCCAAAAGCAGACAGTTTGAAGGTTATCCCCCTCAAATGACCTTGTTTTCTAGTTTGGCTAGCTCATCCAGGCATATCCCACCTTTACTCTTCAGCAGGGAAATATCTAACACCTCATCCAAAGACCAGTGGTTCATCTGGTGGAAGCAATGATCAAGCAAAACAAGCCAACTGGCACAGGTCACAGGAGGTTGGCACTCTTTAGGGAGCTTTGTTCTGGCAATAATACCCAAAGGATTCTTTTCTCCCCAAGGTTTCCTTAGCCTAGAATTTAAGATTTTCCACAATCTGGATCCAATTGACTTTTCGTTCTTGTTTCAAATATTATCATTATATTTCATATTATTCTTCTAGAGTCTCATAAGTTCTTGCCTGGAGTACTCCAACAGCTCCCATTTTACTCTCTGATAGCTAGGTTTTAAACTTTTAAATCCATTCTGGTTTTGCTTCTTACTATCTGTGTGACTTTGGGCAAAGCACTTAACGTCTTTAAGTCTCAGTTCCGTGTGCCCCGCCCCCCCCTTCTCCGCCATACAAAATGAGAGAGTTGGATTAAATAAACTCTAAGGCCTTTTCTGACTCTAAAGCCATGATCCTATAATCCATCCTGCGTATTAATGCCAGACTATTGTTCCTCAGACACAACATTCATGTCGTTTCTCTGTTTAAGAACCTAAAATGGCTTCCTATTGTCTACCCCATTACATCAAAGTGCCTCAGTCTGGCTTTTCAAGGTCCTCCATAATCTGACTCCACCTTACTTATTATCAACTTATTTCCCATTACTCCCTAACATGAACCTTTTGTTACAGAGAGGTTGATGTCCTCAGTGTCACACAAACAAGTCAGACTTGTTCTTGTGTTGTCCCTACCATTATTCCTTTTCCTAAGCACTTAGTCTACCTAGATCCTTTCCATTTCAAGGTTCGGATCATCTCACCTTTCTTTGGACTTCTTCAAATACCCTAGTCTAAATTTAAATATTTATAGTAGCTTCTTTCATGGTAGTCAAAAATTGGAAACTCAAGGAGTATCCTATTAGGGAATGCTTAAACAAATTGTGTATATGAATATAATGGAATATTATTGGCCCATAAAAATGCTGAAATAAACAACTTTAGAGGAAATTGGGAAGACTTTTTATGAATTCTTATAGAAATAATTTTATAATCTTATAATATATAAGTATCTTTATAATTTTAAGTATAATTTTATAAAATTATTCTATACAAGTTAGATCTTAAGTCTATACTGTTATATATTATTCTTTAATTTCTTTATGTGGTTAGTGGAAGGGACTCTGTGCTATTTACAAAGCTGTAACTAGAACTTGAGGTGTCAACATGAGGGGAGCATGTTTCTTCCCTGATGTGGTCCAGAAACCACTATCCCTGTGCTTTTTTCTTTGTGGTCTGCCTGGTCATAGTTTGGTGGAGAGTTGAGGGGAAAGAAGGCAATCTTTTTTGGGGGCAGAGCAGGTAGTCTTAGAGAAGGCAAGAGAGTATCAAAGGATGGGGGGAATGGGTTACCCTATCACCTGGTATTACACCTGTAGCCAGATTGTCCCTCATGTGTGTTCAACCCTTTGTGCTGCTGTTTCTTCCTTCAGATTGTGTCACTACAGTCACCTCCTACACACTGTTTTTGCCCCAGATGGAAAAATTTGTAATCACAGATTATATTCTTCTTATATTTCTCATAGGACTTAGTATAGTGGTGGGTACATGGTTCGATAAATGATAAATGATAAAAACCTTGGCTCTATCACTAACTAGTTCTCTGAACTTAGTTATATCACCTCATCTTTCTGGGCCTTAGTTTCCTCATCTGTAAAATGAGTGACTTGGGTGATATAATTGTGACAATTCCTTCCAGATACTACATTTTATAATATCTACTAAATTATTGATTCATTTGAAGAGTGCAGTATTGGTGATCCTATAGTTGATTTTTTTATTTTGAAATTATATATCCTCAGTATAAGGTACATACAACAACAATAAGGATTCATAGCAATCAATCAACAAGTATTTATTAAGCAATACATTAGGTTTATTTTTTGCCTCTTCACTGATGTCATTCATATTTGAAGAATAATTATGACATTGGATGTTGAAATTCAATAAACTGAAGCATCAAGGTAGGAAAGAATTTAAAGGTGTGAGTTATCTCAGAGAAAACTCCTCATCTTTACCTCCTTAAAGTGAAAAATGGAGCGCTATTAGAAAAAGTGATAATTCTCCTAATTGATTTCATTAGAAAATTAAGTCATAGAGTCCCTTAATCAAGTAAAGGCTACTCATGAACTTTGGCTCCTTCTCATGCTACACAAGACTGTTTTTAGGGCACATTTCATATCCTTGTTGCGCAGACTATAGATTAGGGGGTTTAAGAATGGAGTCATTACTGAGTACACCAAAGTTACAATTTTTTGCATTGAAGTTGGGATGCCAAATGTTGGGCTCACATACATCACCATGACTGTCCCATAGAACAGAGACACTACCATCAGATGAGATCCACATGTAGAAAAGGCCTTACTCCGGCCAGCTGCTGAAGGTACCTGAAACACAGCTCTAAGCACCAAGATATAAGATGTGAAAATGTACATAATGGAGAGAAAGAGGACAAGGGAGCTCTGGGTATAGAAGATCAACTCAGCAATAGGGGCTGGGACACAGGAGAGGGCCATCAGTGGATCTATGTCACACAGAAAGTGATCTATGATGTTGGAACCACAGTAGGGTAGTTGGGAGATTAAGAAAATGAGAACTGGGTAGCCAAGGAAGCCAGCCAACCAACAGAGAGACACTAGGGTGGCACAATGCCTCCCAGTCATGATCATTGGGTAGTGCAGTGGGCAGCAGATAGCCAGATACCTATCATAAGCCATCACTGCTAGGAAAAGACATTCAGTTGTACCAAGGGAAAAGAAGAAATAAAACTGTAGAAAACATCCAGAGAAGGAGATTGCTTTGGTCTTGGAGAGAAAGTTGGCCAACATATTGGGAACAGTGGAAGAAACATACCAAATCTCAAGAAAGGAAAAATTGCCGAGGAGAATGTACATGGGAGTATGGATCCGCTGGTCCCATATTACTGCAGAGATGATGGCTCCATTACCAAGAAGAGTCAGGATGTAGATGATCAAAAGTAGTGAGAAGAGTACAAGCTGTATCTCCCAGGACCCAGGGAAGCCTAGGAGGACAAACTCAGTCACAGTGGTTATTCTTGACCTGTTTATGGGTCTCAGAACTGTGGAGAAGACAAAGATAATCATGACATGGAGTACTTTTGTGGACATTCTGAAACTTTTCTTGGAATAAGGAGCTTGCCTCAAAGAGTTTGAGGGAGGCATAATAGAAAGAGGGTTGAAGGACTGAACTTGGAATCATGGAACCAAATTTTAATCACAGAGTTGCCAGTTCCTAGATGTGTGAATTTGGACAAATTGCTTAATTTCTCTGAGTCTCAGTTTCCTCACCTATAAAAAGGAAGGGGTTGTACTAGATTACTTCTAAGGTCAACTCTGGATGACTTCCATAGATTGATGACTCATTGCTCCATGCAGAGGAAACACATAGATCATTCTGAGACTAATTTGGGGGCCAACCTTGTCTTGTTCTAAATGAGCTGTGAGGCCCTGAAACTCAATGTGACTTGATTCATAATGGCAGAACACTAGGTTCCATGAATTTCCTAGAGCATTAGAATGAACCAATGTGATTTCCTTATCCTTTGAAGCTAAAGGGACAATTGGGCCAATGTTCAATGAACAGTTTAACTTCTTCCTTGGGCTTTCACTTCATGGATGGAAATCATTGTCACTTTCATCATCTTTGCACATCAAAGACAAAAACCATAGGGGTAGAATTCATTTCCCTCAAATTTTTTTTCTGATATCTGGTTAAAACCATAATGATCTGTTCTGTAGCTTTTATTTCATTCCTGAACAGCATTCAATTGTTTCTTTACATAATGCCCATCAATATAATTACTCACATTCTGATTTTTCTTTTGAGATATCTCCTACAAGTTTTTGGACCAGGAAGGGAAGTAACAGGATTTGAAGGCTCAGCATATTCTCCAGAATCCCATCATTTTGTGGGGTATCCTATGAACAGAGACAAGTATATCTAGAAACCAATTTTCTTTCCATGAACTTCTATGCCATTTTAAAAAGGATATAGGACCTATTTTAGTAAGATATAGAACAGGTATATTGTGATTTAAAAGGGTAAAGGATGCAGCTTTCAGCCCCCAAATAGCCACACTATCTATAATTTCACTTTTAGTCTTTTTTTCAGTCTAGCAGGTTTTTTTTTTAGTCAATTGGGGTTAAGTGACTTCCAGGGTCACACAGCTAGTAAATGTCAAGTGCTTAGTCTGGGGCTGGATTTGAACTCATGTCCTCCTGACTTCAGGGCCAGTGCTCCATCCACTGCACCACCTAGCTGCCCCTTATGTTACATCATTGACTACTTTTTTTTAAGGGCAATTGGGGTTAAGTGATTTGCCCAGGTTCACACAGTTAGTAAGTGTCAAGTGTTTGGTCTATGTCCAGTTTTGAACTCAGGTCCTCCTGACTTCAAGGCCAGTGCTCTATCCATTGCGCCACCTAGCTGCCTCTAGTCTTTTTTTTTTCTTTTTTAAAACACAAACATTCCAGAAGGTGGAGGGGTTGGTTTCACTTTGAACCAGTATCAATGAAAACTTTAATTATCAGGAAGCACTTTAGTTGGGATTAGTTCATTCATTCATTGATAAACATTTGAGAAAACTTTTAGGAGAAGGGAGAAGAGCTAGGATGGAGTTAGAGAAGGTGTGACCTTCGTTGGCTTCACAATTTTTTCCTAGTCTCATTTTACATCTGTTGTCCTTTGTGTGTGGATATAGTGACTCAGCTACCCTACAAGGTACATTTTGAGTTGTTTTGCCAGTAGTGATGACGGGTTCATGGTGATCCTTCTCCTCTTATCCAGTTTGCTATGTGACCAAATGAATGTTTTTGGAGAACTGTTGGTGGGGGTAAGGGTAAATTTATAGCCACAGATAGAATTAAATTAAGTTGCTCATATGGCAATAGAACCTATACCATGACCTTGGCTTCATGACAATAACACTTTGCATCCTTGTGAAGCTGCCTTGTGGGGAGCTATTATTAGCCCTATTTTAGAGATGAATAAACTGAGGTTCATGAAGGGCTTCTGACAAATCCAGTACTCAAATTTCACTGCATCACAACCTCTCAGAACAACTGAGCTGCCAACCACCCATAAGCAACACAGTGTTGCCTCTTCCTTGAAAGCTGCCTTTTAAACCCTGATCTATTTCACCTGCTGAATTGCACCTCATATTTTGAAAAATAACTGTATATTTGTTCATGTTCTAGAAAAGCCAAAATGAAAACTAAAAACGGGGCAGTTGGAAATATGGTTTCAAGGGTCATTGATCTGCTACTTACCAGTGTTAATTTTCATGTTGTTTACAAAATCAACAGAGAGGACCTTTCTTTATGTTTAGATTTTCCCTACAGGAAACACACAATAAGGTTAATTTCAATACGAAAGTGTAATTCATTTAATGCCCCCTTTTAAGCATTGAAAGCAAACCCAAGTTTGTCTACAGGTGCAAATTCTTTGAGAATTCATCATTTTGTGTTATATACTATGGACAGAGACAAATATAGCTACAAACCAATTTTCTTTCAATGATTTTTCTATGCCATCAAAACCCAAATTTTGTCAACAGGTAGTTTCTTTGAGAAAATTTAAACCATAAGGGCTAAATTTATTCCCTGAAAATAGTTGCATTAGATATTTAAATGGTTGATTGGTGTGACTGAACACTGAACACTCTCCTGAAGAAGGTTAGTCATTTAAAAAAAGTGATAAAATTCATAAAGTACAGAATTCAGAGCCTGTAAACTAAGGCTGAAAGGTGAAAGGTTCCAGTTGAGTTTGTCAAATACTTGAATCTTTCTTTGTTTCCTGGAGATCAACAAACTAAAACTTTGTTAATCAGGGCAGGAAAAAAAAAAGCATTTGAAAAGGGAAGGCTGACATCTATGAAGGAAGATATGGGCTCTCCCATTAGTCCCATGTTGGTGGTCATCATGAAGAGGAATCTTAAAGAGAAAATGAATTTCTAAGTATCACAGGTCTAAGCAATATCTAGTTTTCTAAGCAAAAATTAGTTTGTAGATTACAAAGTAGTAATCATTGACAGAGAGAGAAGATACTTCCTGTGATGCTTCCAGGAACAGAGACCAGAGTCTAATCTCACAGATTTTGACTTGGAATCACAATCTTCAAGGTTGAGAAATGAGGTGCTTTTTGTTGACAAGAGTATTAGTGTGGGAAAAATTTAGTTATCCATAGAGACATGGAAAAGAAGGATAAATGCATTGTACTTACAATCTCAAATCACAAAGTATGAACCTCCTCCTCCACTGTGCAATATTTGTTAGTATTCAACTATAGTTGAATAGCTATGTTGATTGGTTTAAGTTTCCCCTTTACCATCTCTCTTGTCCACTTCAAATGGAGGTAAAAATGAGCAGTAAACTAGACAAAAGATGCACAGTTATGGGGAAGAGGAGCCAGGTCTAATAGTCTGCAGGAATTGCTGGAAGTGCTGACGCTTTCTGGCAATATACTTAGGTGTTTAAGAATGGGTCCATGAATGACTTCTGTAGGGCAAAAAGACCAACTCCTCCTCCTGTTCCTGCTTTTGACTACAAGTAAATGGACAGTATCTCACCCTAAGATCAACGATGAGTGATTGTTGTTTGTTTTTCTATCATTCGATGTTCCTTTTCAGTTATACCATGAACTGGGTGCATATGGTACACAAGTGCCAAAAAGTGAATTGCTTTCTCAGGAGAAGAGGGTACAATATTCACAAGCTCATAGAATGTTAGGGATAGAGTAGACTTCAGAGATCATCCAATCTAACTTCTTATTCTTCTAGATAAGGAAAACAAGAAGTAAGAAAATGACTTGCAAAAATCACACAGAAAGTCTGTGAAAAAGCCAGGATTAGAACTAGATCTTCTAACTTCTGTCCTGTCAGTCTTTCCAAACTACCACAGTGTCTCTTTGAGTTCTCTTCAGACAGTTCATAGGGACCAATTGGAGCAGGTGCATGGAAGCAGTCATAGTACTGAGGCTTAGCACCTCTTTCTTATACCGAGTGATGGTGGTACAGATTCAGCCCAAGGGGAGAGTGAATGTTTAGTGAAATCTCAGCCACAGGGACTCTATCCTTGGTGGCTCTAAAGAAAAAGCACTGTTGGAGAGTGTTATACATCATTTGTTTTATTCCTTCTGCACCTGGATAGCCCAAAGGTTTACTTCCTAGGAGTTTCTTTAGTCCCTAGGAGTGTATAAAGCACCCAAACTATGTTTAACTCCAATAATTCCTGTGAAATCTCAGGCTTCTCCTTGGTGGGTTCTGTATTTCTGCCATTTTCCCCTCCAGGGGCCATCTCCTCTCATGCCCATGGGTCTCTCCATAGTCCGTGTAGATTGGCCCCTAGGGTTTGGATTGAATGAGAGAGAAAGAGAAGAGAAGCCAGAGCAAGTACCAGGTCGATTTCAGGAGACCTTCCCTTTGTGAAGAGATTGCACTGTTTTTAGAAGTCACTCCCAATGTATCTCTTTTATCTATATCACCATCACTATCTACTTCTATGTGTATCTCTATCTCTATCTCTATATATCTGTCTAATCTATATCTAATAATTATAAAAATAGCTAACACTTACATAACTCCTATGACATGCTAGGCACTATCCTAAACATTTTATAAATATTATTTCATCTTTTAACCTTTAACAACAACTGTGGGAGGTAGGTGATATTATTATCCCCATTTTATGTTTGAGGAAATGGAGGCAAAAAATTTTAAGTGATTGTTAAGGGTCAAAGAGCTAGGAAGTGTCCGAGGCTGGTTTTGGACTTAGGTCTTCTTTGCTTCAGTGCCAGCTGTCTATCTACTATGCCACCTAGTTGTCATCTATATCATCTTACCTACACTTAGTACTATGTCTATATGAATACTTACATCTATATTAGCTACATCATTAATACTTATATCTAGATCTTGACTATATCTACACTTATCCCCATTTCCATTTCTCTTTTACTCTTCCCTCCTCTCTCCTCTCCTCCCTCCCTACTTAAGTCCTCCTGACTCCAGGGCAAGTGCTCTATCCAAGGCACTACTTAGCTGTCCCCAATGTCTGACACTTCTTGACCCCTTTTGGGGTTTTCTTGGTAGAGA